GTTATGGCGGGCGCTACTCCCTCAGGCCTACTGCTGCCACCACCTCTGCTTATATATATTTATGTATATGTATGTATATATATATATATCCCCTTTCTGGCTAGCTTGTTCACTCTGTGTGCTACATCACATTTTGTCGTTAGCCACCCTCTCTTAATTCTATTTGGTCTTTTCTCTTTAGTCACTCGATTTGTACTTTGTATATGTGTAACAATGTGGCAACAGGTGCCAACTAGGCCTCAACGACTGGCGCTTTGAAATTTTGTTGTATAATTTCAGGCTTTCTCTCGCCTTCACTTTATTTATGTTTGCTAATACACTGGTTATCACTTTATGCCTCTCTTAATTCTATTTGGTCTTTTCTCTTTAGTCACTCGATTTGTACTTTGTATATGTGTAACAATGTGGCAACAGGTGCCAACTAGGCCTCAACGACTGGCGCTTTGAAATTTTGTTGTATAATTTCAGGCTTTCTCTCGCCTTCACTTTATTTATGTTTGCTAATACACTGGTTATCACTTGTAGGGTTGTTCACTGACGTTATCACTAACACTGGTTGCTTCTAGCTGCTAAAACACGCCCTAAAAGCACTAAGATTCTCGGAGCCTGGCGCTTGTGACCCACTACACTGTGTGTGTGTGTGTGTGTGTGTGTGTGCATGTGTGTGTGCGCATGTGTGTGTGTGCGCATGTGTGTGTGTGTGCATGTGTGTGTGTGTGCACGTGTGTGTGTGCACGTGCGTGTGTGTGTCTGCATATGTGTGTGTACACTCACCTAATTGTGGTTGCTGGGGTTGAGACTCAGCTCCTGGCCCTACCTCTTCACTGATCGTTACTAGGTCCTCTCTCTCTCTGCTCCCTGAGCTTTGTCATACCTTGTCTTAAAGCTATGTATGGTTCCTGCCTCCACTACATCACTTGCTAGGCTATTCCACTTCCTGATGACTCTATGATTGAAGAAATACTTCCTAACATCCGTGACTCGTCTGAGTCTTCAGCTTTCAATTGTGACCCCTTGTTTCTGTGTCCCCTCTCTGGAACATCCTGTCTCTACCCATCTTATCTATTCCACGCAGTATTTTGTATGTCGTTATCATGTCTCCTTTGACCCTTCTGTCCTCCAGTGTCGTCAGTCCGATTTCCCTCAACCTTTCTTCATAGGACATTTCCCTGAGCTCCGGAGCTAGCTTTGTTGCAAATCTTTGTACTTTCTCTAATTTCTTGATGTGCTTGACCAGGTGTGGGCTCCAAACTGGTGCTGCATACTCCAGTATGGGCCTGACATACACAGTGTACAGTGTCTTGAACAATTCCTTACTAAGGTGTGTGTGTAGGTTGGTAGGTAGGCAGGCAAATGGTTTTTGGGACCTGATGGGCTGTTGGAGTGTGAGCATGGTAACATTTTGTGAAAGAATTCAGGAAGACTGGTTAGCCAGACTTGAGTCCTGGAGGTGGGAAGTACAGTGTCTGTACTCTAAAGGAGGGGTTTGGGATATTTGCTGTTTGGAGGAATATCTGAACTGTAGTATCTATGCACCTCTGGCAAAACAGTGATAGTGTGAATGATGCTGAAAGTTTTTCTTTTTCAAGTCACCCTACCTTGGTGAAGATGGCCTGTGTGTTTGTGTACGTGTGTGTGTATGTGTAGGCGTAGGATGCCTCCATAGACACCTACCTGGGATGATCTCCATTCCTTTCCACTATTGTATTCTTGAAAAAAAGTGTTTTGCTTGTAACACAAAAGGCCTAGATCTGTCACTGAACTTCCCCATGTGATTGTTTTGCACTCAACTATATGACTTATGACTAGAGCAGTGCAGTAGGCCTAGGCAGGTCCTACTCCAATTCAACCTCCCTTTCTCATATATTTGTCCAACCTATTTTTAAACCTTCCCAAGGCTTAGGTTCAATGATCAAAGGCAGGCCAGCAGACAGGCAGGCTGGTATGCATACATACATGGAGTGTAGGGCACAGGAGGGCAATGCAGGGTAGGGCAGACCAGGTTAGGCTAAGCCAAGCAGGACATACTCACATCCATGTTTCTCTGGTAGAGATTAGTCAAGAAATGTAGATTTAACCCTTTGAGGGCCTGTCTTGTAGTTCTACACCTTGTCCACAGGGTCCAAGAATTTAAAAAAAAATTATTTCTTCTTATGAAATGGTAGAGAATCTTTTTCTGAAGGTAATAAAACAAAAAGTACAAAATTTGATGGAAAATTGATGAAATTATGCTATTGCGAATTTTGCTGCATCAGCTATATTTATGCATCAGCGATTTTGCCCACTTTGACTTCTATTTTAGGTCAATTACATTATTCCAGTCAACCAAATTTTTAGCTATTTTGCTAGTATCACTTCTATTTTATCGATTGAACACAAGAAACTGCCCAATTGTCTTATTTCAACTATCCAATAAAGTGATCAGAAATTAATAATTTGGGAAATTTCACACAAAGTTCAAAATATTCCATTTTCAATATGGGGTTCAGAATAAACAATGCAGGCATTCCTGGCACTAAAATAACATTTCCTTTGTTTATTAGTTACATTTCCAGGCTTTACATATGAAATTCTAGTTTGATTTTTTATTCACAAAGGATTTTTATCCACACCAAAAAATAGAAGATTTACTGTTATGCAATATTGTAATAATTGTATAAAGAATATCAGCACATTCGTGAATGTACAGTGCTAGCCACCACATTATGCCGGGTGAACGCCCTGGCATAATGCCATGATGAAAAATCAAAGGCCTACCATACAGGGGGTCTTTTTTCATCAGCGAATTCTGCCGAGTAGTAGCTGTTAGCATGATGTTACAGCCTGCCGCCACACTCCACAGTGACTCCTCAGTGCTCACGTGGCTGCCTTGGTGAGAGGAAGTGCTGCACTTTTGTCTCTCATCCGGCCCATCTTTTGTCCGGTGTTCCCTTTGGTTTTGGGGCTATACATGTTTAATTATGGGTAAAAAGGAAGTCTTTAACACCTGAAACTATAGCTCAAATCATAGAGCTTCACAAAGCTGGGCATCAAACAAAAGAAATAGTGGAGAATGTTGGTGTGTGTGAGTGTTCAGTGGCAAACTGGGTGCTGTGTTTCAAGGCTGGTGGCAGTGTCGAGTTATCGTCTGCCAAACCTTGGCCTGGTTCCTCGAAGAAGACATCTGTTCGTATCTTAACTGTGTTAAAGAAGCAGTTAGAGTGTACACCTAAGATAACTGCTAGAGAATTGAAAGAAAAGAACCCACATCTTCTCAGAGGTGTTTGTAAGAACTGTTAACAGATGTGTGTCAGAACTGGGCTACAGTAGTCACTGCCAGGTCAAGAAACTGATCCTCTCCAAGCCACAGAAAAAATGTAGGCTGGATTATGCAAAGAGATATCTTCACTGGAATCCTCACCAGTGGTCTGAAGTACCATGGGGGACGTGTACTGGCCTAGAAGTAGTGACCTGCTAGACCAGGGGTGGGCAACCTTTAGCATGCATCCCAAATCTGGCATGCCAACGACTTCTTTCCGGCACGCTAATCTCTGGTCTCATCTCAAAAAACACAAAAAATTGCGACATTTATCACGTATGCTTTCAAAGAAAAGTGGAGAAATAGTCCCCATATGTTTCCAGAGTTTTTGTATCAAAGATATAGCCTACTTTGCCACGCACACTTAAAAAGGTTGCCCACCCCTGCGCTAGACCCATGCTGCACCTGTGGAACCACCAAACACCCAGACTCGCTCATGGTTTGGGGGTGTTTCAGTGCTCAGAGTATTGGTGAACATATTGTGCTTCCCAAAAACCAGTAAGAACCTGTGTTATTACCTGGTGGTAGAGGGTGGTAGTGGTTGTGATGGTGGTAGAGGATAGTAATGATGGTGGTAGAGGGTGGTAGTGATGATGGTAGAGGGTGGTAGTGATGGTGGTAGAGGGTGGTAGTGTGTGGTTGTGATGGTGGTAGAGGGTGGTAGTGGTTGTGATGATAGTAGAGGGTCGTAGTGGTTGTGATGGTGGTAGAGGGTGGTAGTGGTTGTGATGATGGTAGAGGGTGGTAGTGATGGTGGTAGAGGGTGGTAGTGAGGGTGGTAGTGGTTGTGATGGTAGTAGAGGGTGGTAGTGGTTGTAATGGTGGTAAAGGGTGGTAGAGGGTGGTAGTGATGGTGGTAGAGGTAACCTCTCCTCTCTCTCCCTTCTTTGCCGTCTTCCATACGCCAACAAGAGTCTTCAATAAAGGTAAAAGTGATTTAAATGTTCATTTATTCATTTCATTAGTGCTCTGTGTTTATTTCTCATTGTTTTCTGTATATAAAACAATAGTTGTTCTCTGTAAAATGTATTTTTTGTTAATATTTTTGGGTGTCTGGAATGGATTAATTGGATTTGCATTATTTCTTATGGGAAATATTGCTTCAGTTTTCGTCGGACTCTCTGAGACGAATTAAAGATGAAAACCGAGGTTCCACTGTATTTGTATATTTAAAGTGGAATCTTATTACTGAGTGTGGATGATACCTTGATGCACCAAAAAAGTAGGAATTTGGTGTGTGGTAGGCCTTCACTCTGCCAAAATTTCAACCTTTGAAAAGTAGTATCCTATTTTTTTTCTCTCTCTCTCTGAAAACTTTTGGTCCTAAAATCTTGAATTATACACACTTTGGTTATGTAGATGTGCATGGGAGAGAGTGAACCACATTTTCTGTCATTGTTTAGACAATGTATTGAATCTTAACACAATATGGCAATACTAGATAAGAGTTTGTCAGTGTTTAGTGTAACTATGAGACAGTTATATAGTTTTATGATGTTGCTTCAAGGTCTGCAGCATTACATAAAAAATGAAATGTATAGTACATCTAACAAAATTATTAAATAATGATTTGAAATTTATGAAGCATATGACAGAGGTAATCATTTTGTCTCAACAGTTCTGGATGGGACTCAGAAGGAGGCTATGAACCTGCTCCTCCAGTACCAGAGAAACGCTTTGATCTGGAAGAGGAGTCAGTGTCTGGTGCTGGTCCTCCAGACAGTGGTCTGATGACAACTTCAATTACTTCTGCATCCTCGGGTAAGGGGCCATCCTCACCGCGATCACCACATCTCAATGCTAGATCGTCAATGACTGGGTCTGTACCCTCACCAACTTCCCCGCACAGCATAGGAACTGTCTCAGATCGGCCACCATCTACAGAAATTCAGGCAGCCTTGGCTATCTCAGGACGAACACCAGCCAATGAAGAGATGCCATACATGACTCCTCCATTACATCATGTAAGTTTAAAAATAACTTTTCTGCTAAAAAGTCTCTAGGCTTGTACCCTGCTAGAAAGTCTCTCTAGGCTTGTACTCGACTAGAACGTTTCTCGGCTTGTATTGTACTAGAAAGTCTCTAGGCTTGTACTCTGCTAGAAAGTCTGTCGTATATTCAGTGGTGTATCTATACTATTAATTTCCAGTGTTAAATCCTTTCATTGGTACAAGGTTTAATTCTGCACACCACAGTGAAATTCAGATTGCAATATTATTTAGTTGATATCTTATGCAGGCTTGTTTACCGCTTGTGAGTACAATGTACTCTGCAGTATTTTCTGTACAGTATTGACAGTGTAGATTTTTTTTTTCAACACGTTGGCTGTCTCCCACCGAAGCAGGGCGACCCCCCCCCCCCCCAAAAAAAAAAAAAACACTTTCACCATCATTCACACATAATCACTGTATTTGCAGAGGTACCCAGATATGACAGTTCAGATGCCAGTATCCCAAACCCCTCCTTTTAAAGTGGAAGTATTGTACTTCCCACCTCCAGGACTCAAATCTGGCTAACCAGTTTCCCTGATCCCCTTCACAAAACATTACCCTGCTCACACTCCAACAGCTCATTATGTCCCAAAAAACATTAGTCTCCATTCACTCCTAACCAGCATGCTCACACATGGAGGTAAATAGTATAAAATACCATCAGGAGGGAAAAATAAATGCAAATTCAGTACAATGTGATCCTGTATTGACTACGTTTTGCCCACACAGTGGGTGACTTGATAAAATCCGCTGTGTTGAAGAAACATAGTCAGTATAGTATCACAGTATACTGCATTTGTGTATTTTTCCACAGTAGTGCCAAGCAATGCTGACCTTGTGGCATACATTGTTTTTCAAGGTGACACCACACTGACAGTAGTACCTTTGGCACTGCATTGACAGTGGTAACTTTGGCACTGCACTGACAATGGTAGATTTTGTACTGCACTAACAATTTTAACTTTGGCACTTCACTGATAGTGATAACTGGCACTGCACTAACAATGGTAACTTTGGCACTGCACTGACAATGATAACTTTGGTACTACACTGACAGCGATAACTGGCACTACACTGACAGTGGTAACTTGGGCACTGCACTAACAATGATAGCTTTGGCATTGCACTGACAGTGATAACTTTGGCACTGCACTAACAATGATTAACTTTGGTAATGCACTGACAATGATAACGTTGTTGGAGTTCAGTTAATCTTTAATTTGCTGCAAAAACTGGAAGTCTCATCTTACCCAAATGAAGTCATTTTAAGAGGGTTATAAATTTGTTATTAAGTATAATGCTGTATGTAGCCAATTTTCTTAGTGATGTATAAATCATGTATTCCTTGAAATCACAGTAAGATAAACTGTGTGTGCGTGTGTCTGTGCACGTGTGTGTGTGCGTGCATGCATGCGTGTGTGTGCATGCATGCGTGTGCATGTGTGTGTGTGTGTCTTTTGTTATTACACAGGATTTTACAAGGTTAGGTTAAGGATTCCTAACTTTATTTACAAGCTAAGAGCTTATAAATAAAGCCATAAAGACATTATCCATCCTCTTTCCCTCAAGGAAGGTTTCTTGATGCTGCTGAGGAGGCTTTTGATATGAGATATTGGACCTGTGCTCCAATTCCTTGAATCAAGCCTGAATGCCTTCCAGTCTGCCAGGCACTGTATGACCTGTACAGGTTTAGTGCTCATCCCATGCCTGTAATCGTAATATCCATCGTCTTGATCTGTCTTTGACACATAATTTATTCCTTTCTTCAGCACAAGTGGTTGAAAAGAAATTTGAATGATAAAGTGAAGTGCCATATAATAAATTAAATAAGGAATACAGTTTAATTTGATTTTGTCAAGTTCTTGTAATTTTGTTAGATTATTGCTGCAGTATGAGTGTATAGTATTTACATACTGATGTACATATTTATATTTTTTTTTTTTGGCAAGCAGACTGAAGAGGTAAGTGCTGCATACACAGTTTTTGTTTTTAGACTTAGCAGTGTCAATAATATATCAGAAACATTATTTAGCTAATATTTCCCATAAGAAATAATGTAAATCCAATTAATCCATTTCAGACACCCAAAAATATTAGCAAAAAATACATTTTATAAAGAAGAACTATAGTTTTACATACAGACTAGGGCATATGAATGCCGAGGTTTCACTGTATTGTGAAAACAAGTTCTTAATTTCTTTGTAAATAATTTCACATGATGATAGCTTAATTTTTCCATACAGGCAGGCATAGAGATAGCATCACAGCAGAACTTCAGTGGTGACTCTCAGGACTCGAGAGGCTACACGAGTATCAGTGTTCGGGAACCTCTGGCAGCCATTAAGGCACAGACACAAGGCTCAGCAGCACCCCAGCCATCAGCTGCCACTCAGCCCCTCGAAGGAGAAGGGTATGTGTCACATAGGACTCCTTTTAAAATTGTCAGGTGCTATTTTTTCCTGTTTATGCTTCTTTAAGCTTTTGTGACTTAATACTGTTAAGTCTTGATTATCAAACAGTTAATTAACCACACTGGCTGAAACTGATTCCCGCTGTTCCTGCTGAAACGCTTAACATTGCAACTCTCAAGCACCATACATCCCAAACTGTTTGCTTAACCCTTTCAGGGTCACCAGGCCCTCTCTGAGACTTGTTCTCAGGGTCTCCCAAATTTCAAAAAAAAAAAAATTATTTTTTCTTATGAAAGGACAGAGAATCTTTTCCCGATCATAATGACACCAAAAGTACGAAATTTGATGGAAAACTTATGGAATTATGCTCTCACGAATTTAGTGGTCTCGACGATGTTTACGCATCGGCGATTTTGCCCACTTTGAGCTCTATTTTTGGCCAATTCCGGTGTACTAGTCGACAAAAATCATAACTACATGTATTTTGCTAGAACTCCATTTTTTCTATCGAATGAGTACAAGAAACCACCCATTTACCGATTTCAACTATCCAATAAAGTGGTCAGAATTTAGCAATTTTGCCAATTTCACACAAACTTCAAAAGATGCAAATTTCCGAATAGGGTCCAGAATAAACAAGAAAGACATTCCTGGCATTAAAATAACAAGTTCTCTGTTCGTTAGTCACATCCCCAGGCCCCTCTTATATTTCTTTGGCTTTCCACTTTGAATTTTTATTCTTACAAAAAATAGAAGATTTACTGTTATGCAGACTACTGCAGTAGTGTAGAAATGGTATAAATAATATCAGCGCACTTGTGAAAGAATATTAGACTCACCAGTTGACATGTATTGGACGCTTAGCATGATTTGTTTACTTTTGAACTTTGATAAAAATCGAACATTTCTGCTACTTTGAGCTCAATTTCAAGGTACATTTCATTGTAAAACCAGTCAAAATCATCTCAATTTCTGTAATATGTCTTCCATTCTATAAAATGAGACCAGGAAAACTAGAATACAACAATAAATACCATACGAAAATGCAGTGCAAAGTCGTTGTTTTAATCCAAAAACACGGTCAAAGTTTTTTTTTCTCATTATGCACTGTGTGCTGCAGGATTTTTTTTATACTGTGCACACTGACCACGTAGGCCCATTCTTTCATATGTAGGCCTACCAGCTTTCACTAGATTTGAGGGCGCTAGAATTTAGGGGTACTAGTATGTCAAAAACCCTGGGGCGTAAGCTGTACTAGTACGACCGAAACCCTGAAAGGGTTAAAAATTACATTGTTATGTCTTTTGTTTACTGAAATTGGATTTGTCACATAAATACACAAGTAACCTGCACATAGAAGAGAGAAGCCAACGATGATGTTTTGAGCCGTCTTGGACCATTTACAAAGTTACACATGGACCATTTAGGTCCAAGATGAACCAAAATATTGTCGTGGGCTTTCTTGTATGTGCAGGTTAATTGTGTATTGTTCTAGTCAAGGTATTGTGCCTTTTGTTTTTTGTGTTACATAAATGGCTATTACATAAATTAACTGCGGTTTCAGAGAAATGGTAAAATTGTCATTACAAAATTAACATTTTCACTTAAGGTCATTCAGTGTCAAGTGGTCTGATTTTAGAAAAGTGCCCCACCTCACCATCATGGATTTTGATAAAACTTGGTGTGCTGAATCTTGCATGTCTAAAACTAAGTTTGGTAAAGTTTTAGATCTGTCAATGAAATTGTTGCCAAGATAGAACCCTTTGTTTGACACCATTCCACAGCCGTGTACCATAACCCTATGAAATTTCGGCAGTTTTGAATCAAAATAATTTCTTATTCTTTCTACCAAAATAAATGAAACTTTGTTGTCTTACACAACTTTTTATGCTTAATCCAATGGAACTAATATGGATTATGGATTTACATTTTTTTTTAAATTGACATGCTGATTGAGCCTCAAAGGGGGGCAAAAATATCAATGCGTCAAAAAAATGTTAAAGTTTAGTCTTATCTGGTTCATGTAATAATAAAGATAACCCTGTGAAATTTCGTTTACTGTTTTGTGACATAACCTTGTTTACAAGTATATAGTCTCAGCTTGGGAGAATGTTTCATTCCTTTTAAATTTGTAAATTTTCACATTTTTTTAAAAAAGTAGAAAAAACTTATTTTCAAAAGAAAGAGCATGTTTTAACCCATAAACGGTCCAAGCAGATCTACGTTCACATGCGTAGTGCTACAAAAGCAGATCTACGTTTTTTTTACATATTTTCAAATACAGTGGACCCTCGACCAACAATATTAATCCGTTCCTGAGAGCTCATCGTTAATCGGAATTATCATTAGTCAAGTTAATTTTCCCCATAAGAAATAATGGAAATCAAATTAATCCGTGCAAGACACCCAAAAGTATTGAAAAAAAAATTTTTACCACATGAAATATTAATTTTAATACACACAAACTGAAGAAGACATGCACAGTTACATGACACTTACCTTTATTGAAGATCTGGTGATGATTGATGGGATGGGAGGAGGGGAGAGTGTTGATGGTGTTAGTGTTTAGAAGGGGAATCCCCTTCCATTAGGACTTGAGGTGGCAAGTCCTTTTTCAGGGTTACTTCCCTTCTTCTTTTAATGCCACTAGGACCAGCTTGAGAGTCACTGAACCTGTCGCACAACATATCTGTCCATAGAGGCCTGTACCTCCCGTTCCTTTATGACATTCCTAAAGTGTTTCACAACATTGTCAGTGTCACAATTAAACACTTGTTCAGGTTTCAATTCTTCACTGTCTATGTACTCCTTGAATTCCTGCACATATTTTTCAGCTGCTTTTTGGTCCAAACTGGCAGCCTCACCATGCCTTATCACACTATGTATGCCACTAGGATTCTTAAATCTCTCAAACCAACCTTTGCTGGCCTTAAATTCACTCACATCACCACTAGTTGCTGGCATTTTTCTAATTAAATCCTCATGCAACTTCCTAGCCTTTTCACATATGATCGCTTGAGAGATGCTATCTCCTGCTATCTGTTTTTCGTTTATCCACACCAATAACAGTCTCTCAACATCTTCTATCACTTGCGATCTCAGTTTCGAAAACATAGTTGCACCTTTGGCAAAAACAGCTTCCTTGATTGCCGTTTTCTTGGCCACAATAGTAGCGATGGTTGATTGGGGTTTTGTGTACAACCTGGCCAGCTCGGAGACACGCACTCCACTTTCATACTTAGCAAGTCGGCCGTCTCCCACCGAGGCAGGGTGACCCAAAAAAGAAAGAAAATCCCCAAAAAGAAAATACTTTCATCATCATTCTACACTTTCACCACACTCGCACATTATCACTGTTTTTGCAGAGGTGCTCAGAATACAACAGTCTAGAAGCATATACATATAAAGATACACAACATATCCCTCCAAACTGCCAATATCCCAAACCCCTCCTTTAAAGTGCAGGCATTGTACTTCCCATTTCCAAGACTCAAGTCCGACTATATGAAAATAACCGGTTTCCCTGAATCCCTTCACTAAATATTACCCTGCTCACACTCCAACAGATCGTCAGGTCCCAAGTACCATTCGTCTCCATTCACTCCTATCTAACACGCTCATGCACGCTTGCTGGAAGTCCAAGCCCCTCGCCCACAAAACCTCCTTTACCCCCTCTCTCCAACCCTTTCGAGGACGACCCCTACCCCGCCTTCCTTCCCCTATAGATTTATATGCTTTCCATGATATTCTACTTTGATCCATTCTCTCCAAATGACCAAACCACCTCAACAACCCCTCTTCTGCCCTCTGACTAATACTTTTATTAACTCCACACCTTCTCCTAATTTCCACACTCCGAATTTTCTGCATAATATTTACACCACACATTGCCCTCAAACAGGACATCTCCACTGCCTCCAACCGTCTCTTCGCTGCTGCATTTACCACCCAAGCTTCACACCCATATAAAAGTGTTGGTACTACTATACTTTCATACATTCCCTTCTTTGCCTCCATAGATAACGTTTTTTGACTCCACATATACCTCAACGCACCACTCACCTTTTTTCCCTCATCAATTCTATGATTAACCTCATCCTTCATAAATCCATCCGCCGACACGTCAACTCCCAAGTATCTGAAAACATTCACTTGTTCCATACTCCTCCTCCCCAATTTGATATCCAATTTTTCTTTATCTAAATCATTTGACACCCTCATCACCTTACTCTTTTCTATGTTCACTTTCAGCTTTCTACCTTTACACACATTCCCAAACTCATGCACTAACCTTTGCAATTTTTCTTTAGAATCTCCCATAAGCACAGTATCATCAGCAAAAAGTAACTGTGTCAATTCCCATTTTGAATTTGATTTCATATCCATAGTAATTCTCACCCTTTTTGCTGTAGGGTTGGCACTAGAAGCTTTCTTGGGGCCCATGGTGACTTATTTTGCAGGTGCAATCACTAAAAAGGCTGTGATAATATGAAATGTTCCGATTGTATGTTTGGATGGGACCGCGGTAGCTGGCTGGCTTGTAAACACTGGCCAGAAGTGGACGCATCTCAAACGGAACGAATCGTGTTGGTCGAGTTTTTTAGCGCTAGTCGAGGCAAAATTTTTGCGTTAAAATGTATCGCTAGTCGGATTTAAAATTAGACGATGCCATCGTTGGTCGATGGTCCACTGTATAACAAAAAAAAAAAGTAGATCAAAGTTTTTTTACACATTTTCAAATGTAAAAAAACAAAAAGAAGATCTACTTTTTTTACATACTTTCAAATGTTGAAAAAACGTATACTATATACGTTTGGACCGTTTACGGGTTAAACCATCTAAAAAGTTGCTTCAGTTTTTATCGCACCAAATAATGCCCAAAAATGTAAGGGTCAAAATTCAACAGGTTAGTGTAACTTCAGTGTTCTGCAAAAATCCATAGTATGGTTAAATTTTTAAGCTGGACGTGTCATGTGATAATTTTTTCAGCACTCTTTATGAGAAAAGCATAGAAGAATTTGATTGCGTTGGCCCATGGTGGCATTTCCACTTCTGGTTCAACCAGTTTGAACCAGCAACTCCATCCCCATGTTGTTGAGGTTCAGAAGCCTTGATGGGGTACCTGTTGGCTCCTGAGCCAATAACAGGGCTGCTTAGTTCTGAGCATCGACTCCAGCAGTGACAGTGATCTTGTGCATTATCACATTTTACATTTGTTCAGTTTTTTGTTTTGTATCTCTACTGTTCACTTTTGAAAATTTCAAGGGTGATTCACTCAAGGCAGACAAGCTTTTAGTAATTGTGGCAGACTTTTTTTTGAACATAAGAACATAAGAAAGGAGGAACACTGCAGGAGGCCTGTTGGCCCATACTAGGTAGGTCCTTTACAATTCATCCCACTAACAAAACATTTGCCCAACCCAATTTTCAATGCTACCCAAGAAATAAGCTCTGATGTGCAAGTCCCACTCAAATCCAACCCCTCTTACTCATGTATTTATCCAACCTAAATTTGAAACTACCCAAAGTCCTAGCCTCAATAACCCAACTAGGTAGACTGATCCACTCATCAACTACCCTATTTCCAAACCAATACTTTCCTATGTCCTTTCTAAATCTAAACTACTTCTTCTTTCAACAAACCGGCCGTATCCCACCGAGGTGGGGTGGCCCAAAAGGAAAAATGAAAGTTTCTCCTTTTACATTTAGTAATATATACAGGAGAAGGGGTTACTAGCCCCTTGCTCCCGGCATTTTAGTCGCCTCTTACAACACGCATAGCTTACGGAGGAAGAATTCTGTTCCACTTCCCCATGGAGAAATCTAAACTTATCTAATTTAAATCCATTACTGCGGGTTCTCTCTTGGAGAGACATCCTCAAGACCTTATTAATATCCACTTTATTAATACCTATCTTCCACTTATACACTTCGATCAGGTTTCCCCTCATTCTTAGTCTAACAAGTGAATGTAACTTAAGAGTCTTCAATCTTTCTTCATAAGGAAGATTTCTAATGCTATGTATTAATTTAGTCATCCTACGCTGAATGTTTTCTAACGAGTTTATGTCCATTCTGTAATATGGAGACCAAATTGAGCTGAAATAATCTAGGTGAGGCCTTACAATGATGTATAAAGCGCAGTATGACCTCTGGACTAATGTTGCTTACACTTCTTGATATAAATCCCATAATCTATTTGTTTTATTATGTACGCTTAGGCATTGCTGTCTTGGTTTAAGGTTGCTGCTCCCCAAATCCCCCCCCCAAGTCCTTTATGCAATCTGTATGGCTAAGTTCTACATCATTTAACTAAAAGTACAGTGGTCCCTCAGTTATCGTCCTTAATCCGTTTCTGGAAGTGGGACTTTTTACGAAATAGACGATTTTCGAATCAATTTTCCCAAAAGAAATAATGTAAATACAATTAATCCGTTCCTGACACCCAGAAGTATTAAAACAAAAAAAAATTTTACATGAAATATGTAAAAATGTAGTACATAAACAATAAAAAGGACATGATGAATGAAACTTTAACAGCATAACACTTACCTTTATTGGCAATTCTTCTTAGTGTATGGAAGACTGGAGGAGAGGAGAGATTGAATTACTGTTTGGAAGGGAACCCCCTTCCGGCAAACATCTCAGGTCCCAAAGTGCTTTTCTGGGGTTACTTTTTCTTCTCTTGTTTTTTAAATGCCACTAGGACCAGCTTT